TCTCGCGGATGGAAAAAGAGAAAACACATTTTTTTTCCGTTTTTGAGAGGCATGGCCGTGCCTCTAGCGAAAGAAAAAGGAAAGAAATCACGTTTTTTCCGTTTCCGAGAGGCACGGCCGTGCCATTTGCGGAAGGAAAAAACCGGCCTTTTCACGCAAAGAAAATGTTTTTTTGAAAATAAATTTTCCAAAAGCTAAGAAAGACCGGTGGACAACCATAAAGCCGAAAAAACCCAGGAAGATCATCTCAATATCTGAAAACGCGTGCGAAAAAGTAAAAACATAGTCAGAGGGGGCGCCCAAAGAGCGACACCTGGCGGCGGCTAAGAGCGCGCCAAGTGGCGCGGTCTCAGCCCACCCCTAGGTGACCCTTGTGGGGCTCCGGAACGAGCACTCGTTCGTTAGTTGCTCCCGAGATATGGGCGCCCCACCCCCCTTGACGCTGCGTAGGTTTGGGTCGGCCTAGTTAGCCATTTCCGTTTGTTTTCTGTTTCTCTTTTTCATTTCTCATTTTTCCTTTCTTTTTCATTTTCCATTTTTTTCATTGTTTTATTTTCATTGCAAATTTAAAAATATTTTTTGAAACCTGGGTACATGTTTTTCAAATTGCTGAACCTTTTTTGAAATTCAATCATTATTTCAAATTGGTGAAATTTTTTTGAAATTCATTTTTTCATTGAATTAAAAAAAATCGTCAAATTTAAAAATATTCGTCAATAAATGTTCTCAAATACAACATTTTTTCATAAATTTCAAAAACATGATCATTTAATTTATTTTATTTTCAAGAATTTCAAGAAAAATGTTCATTGAATTGAAAATTTGTTCATTTATTACAAAAAAATGCCCATTGAATCACATAAAATGTTCATCCGGTCAAAAAATTTAACAGAATTATAAATAATGTTCATCAATTTTCAAAAATAAATTCATCAAAATTTACTAAATATTCATTTTTAGAGTAGTGAGCCTTTTTTGAAATTCATGAATATTTAAAAATATTAGTGAACATGTTTTCAAATCCCTAAATTTTTCTTCAAATACCGAACTTTTTCAATGAAGCAAAAAAAGGAAAAAAGTAGAAAAGAAAACCAAAAAGAAACGAAAAAAACAGGAGGTCCCCGCGAGACATAGGCGCGCCCGAAGTTGCGACCTAGGTGGGTGATCGCTCCAGAACGACTACACTTGCATAACCATCTGCTAGTGGACTTGACCTTCTTTGAGTTTTTTTTTTCCTTTGAGACATGGTTGTGAGGAGTAAAGACATACCAGGGACGGGACCCCTAAAATTCGGGGGCCTTGTGCGGTTGCGCCTATTGGAATTGCACAGGACGGGGCGGGCTATCATCTCTGGCACAATGATCATGCTGCATGCGCAGATGAGACAAGTCAACGTAGGCTCTGGCTTCTCACCACCGGGTGACTTTTTTTTCTTCTCTCAGTACATGTTTTAGAAAGTAAAGAATGAGCTTCGGGTGTTACCATCCCAAACAAAACAGTATGAGCTTCGACTTCTTCGGCCTACAAGGCCCAACTGGGCACATATGTTGTTTCCCTTATGAAGCCGATGATTTGGGCGCTGCCTAATCAAAAAAAGCAAAAATTGCAAGCCTTGTCATTCAAGATCGAGTGCGCCGGCGGATAGCCTTCAACGTTGCGGATGGCCAAATTGTAGTTTATGTCAACATTGTAAGTGAGAACGGGAGAAGGCGGCTCATCTTCTTTTCAAGTGCAGGCAGTGACGGAGCCAGAAACTTAATATAAAGGAGGCCAAACAGATTGCTATAATATTTGACGGGGCCAAATCAACTAAATCTTTCTAATTGTGTTTGACAAATGGAGGATTAGGAGCA